TAAATTACTCAAAATGTAGGTAATAAATTTGCATCACTCTTTAAAAATTAGAATAAAAGATAGCCATTGAAACATCAACTCTGAACACTGCAGCTCACACAGAACTGCAGCCATACAGCCACAGTTTTAGAAGATTCTCAACATTGAATCACGTTAATACTAAAATTCTGGAGAAGATGGATTTTCTCTAGCTAGGGACTAAATTAATCAACATGCTGTATAGGTATTTTACCAACTTTTTCAAAACACTTTATGTTTCTCTAGAAACACTCCTATTAGGCATGTTTCTGTAATATATCTCTGAAGAGTGCAATTGTCAAAGCCCTTCTGAAGAAGCAACTTAGATCATTCAAAATTAGATAGTTACAGACCAAAACAAACTGCATCTTAAAAGCAAACAGTCTTTTCAGACTGACTTTAGAAAAAAAAATCACAGCTCTGAAAACTCACTCATTAAAGTCTTCAAATAAATTGTATCTATCTGAAGACTGAAACAGGTACAATATTTGTTGTTATAATACTGGATTTTAGTTCCAGCCTTTAATAGAGTGAACCACATAATTCTTCAGTTACTGGAACACTCGGTGGGGTTATCAGGTAGGGTTCTCATCTTGTTCAGATCATATCTTAAAGGGAGGAGCTTTGTTGTTTCTATTGTTGAAAATAAATGTGACCTGAATCCACTGACCTGTGGAATAAATTCCTAAAGAGTAAGATCTTGGGCCATTATTATTCAACCTCTACATGCTTGTCCTAGATTTTTCTTTAAAACATAAAAGCAATGCTATCACAGCTAAACATGTAACTCTCAGATCTACTTGGCCTTCCATCCTAATGACTCAGGTCCATTAGACTCCTTCTGTCTGAGCTTGGAGAAAATGAATATCCAGATGAAATCAAGCTTACTTCAATTAAACCATAATAATAATAATAATAAAATAATAATACAGACAATTCTGCTTGGTTACAAAATAGAAAGAATGAGAGTTGTCACCTAGCTTGAATCCAGAAGGCTTGAAGTTTAATTGACTCGGATTTTAACTTTAGTAGCCATAGCAAGGCTAAGACGGGTTGATGGAGACAGCTTTTTACCATCTCCTAAAAAATCTCCAGAGCCAGATATTTTATGTCCAGAGCTGATTTAGAGAAGCTCTTTCATGCCTTCATCTCTAGCATACTTGACTGATGTAATGCTCTGTTTTCTGGACTGGCAAATTGGTCGGTGGTCCTCTTCAAGAAGGGAGGAAGAACAAATCTGTTTGAGTTTTGGGGATTGGGAGAAGGAGTTCAACCGTGTTACCTAGGGACCCCTGTGGGGAGTGCCCAGGTGGTATGGAGTACCATACCCTCTTATTTGAGCTGTCCGCTCCCAGTACGATCGCTACCACAGTTTGATTTACATAGCCGGCAGTAAGTCGGATTGTTTACCAGTGAGGGTTGGACTCCATGGATCAGTGTGGCGTCTGCAGTGATGCGAAAATTGCGTCTATCTCCCATGTTGAAGAAGGAGCTGAGCCACAAGGCGAAGCTCTCAATTTACTGGTAGATCTACATCCCTACCCTCACCTATTTTTACAAACCGTAGGTAGTGACCGAAAGAATGAGATACAAGCAGCCGAAATGAATGTTCTCCATTGGGGTGGTCAGGCTCTCCCTTAAAGAGAAGCTCGGTCATCTGGCAGGGCCTCAAAGTACAGCCCCGGCTTGTCCGCATCGAGAGGAGTCGGTTGAGGTGGCTTGGGCATCTGGTTTGGACGCTCCACTGATGAGGTGTTCCAGGCACGTCCGGGAGGAGATTCCGGAATCGCATATATCCAGGGACTAGGATTTTTATCCAATTTACTTGTTGGTTCCCTAGAACAGACCACACTTGGCTATGAAACTTGAAGTATGTGGGAATGAGTGGATATTAGTTTAATTCCACCTTGTTAATTTAGTATTTTGACAAATTCACAAGAGTTAAAGCTTTCATTTCAGTCACATCTTGATCTTTATGTGATGCTTTTTTTTATACTGAAGTGAAATTCAGCAAGCGTTCTTTCCATTTATAAATGTGAGTCTTAGGTTGATCTGGCTTTGATATCTGTTTCTCCATTGAGTGCAAGGGTTGATTAAGCTGATCTTGCTGTTAGGTGTATCCACTTCAGATAGTCAAGCATTGGTATTGTGCTCCCTTGGTTAAACTATGAAACACACACCAGTAAATTTATGAAGACATTTAAACTTCTGACAGCATCTTAAACTGTCCTTGAGCAATCACCTCCTATAATTTCTATATTGCCCCCTAACAGCACTTTTTTAGATTGCTCCAGCATTATGTTAGAATTTAATATGAACTTACGATATAAAATGCTCTCCACAATAACGTTTGCAAATATCCACAGGTCTACAGAAGTACGACAACTATTTCATTACAATTTAATAATTTGGGACTTAAATGTGGGATTATTTACACATTCAAAAGAAATAAGATATATTTTATTTGTTTATTCAGACGCTAAACATTTTTGAAAAGTTTTATGTGATAATATATAACATTTGGATGGCAAAATCTGTGAAATGTACACTAATGGCTAGCATTAAACACCCATATGCAGCCAGTCTCAATTACAATTACACCAATAATAGTAAAATCAGAAGCAGTTTTATCTAAAGCTCTAGGCTCAAGCCTTTAGTCTTCAGCAGTAGAAGTAATAGTTTGTGGTTCAAGCCAAAACTGTCCATCTTAAAGATGTCAGGATGAAATATATTGCGTTGAACCAGTCCACGGAATTGTAAAAATGAATAGGTAGAAATACATATTCATCTATATGTTGGGAACGGTGGTGTGGTGGTTAGAACCATCACCTCACAGCAAGAGGGTTCCGGGTTGGAGTCCCGGGTGACACAGGACCTTTCTGTGTGCATGTTCTCCCTGTATCTGTGTGGGTTCTCTCTGGGTTCTCCGGCTTCCTCCCACAGTCCAAAAACATCCATGTTAGGTTGATTGGACATTCCAAATTGGCCTCAGGAGTGAGTGTGTGTGTGGTTGGTTGTGTGTCTCTGTGTGGCAACGGTGAAAGTAGCTCCTAATGCACGGTGACAACCCCAAACACATTGTAGGCTAAATGTTGAGCTTGTGCTGTTTAAAGAGGGCACAAAATCAATATAAGTCTCAAAGTGAAATGAAAACTGTTTTGTTTTCATTTCTTTCAAACCCCACAAGGACTTTTGAGCATTACATCAAAACGATGGTTCGATAACTGAGTTTGAAAAGATGCCACAATCAGTATTACTGCAAGACATGTGAGACAAGCTATTCCTTCTAGTTATACGCACAAGCTTCATCACACACACTTTTTCCGATTGCAAGTACAGAACTGTTGTAGGGCAGGGATCCAGGAACTCCATCACAGCCTCAAGTCAGCTAAAAGCTCCTCAACTCAGAGCACATGAAACCATTAACCTGGGGAGTCCTGTATCCCAAAATAAACGGCTGTGTGCCAGACTCCATATCTGCTTTGTTTTGTTTTCAGTAGGCTATAGGGGTTCGGTTCTGGTCGTGGCATAACAAGAGCACTCACAAAGAATTGCAGAAAAAATATCATCAGGTATTGTGCAATCACATTTTAGTCAAACAAAAAGTAAGCCATTGAAGTAAATCCTTGTTTTATGTCATAACTTAAACAGTTCCACTGAATCAGGTTTGCTGCTGGAACGGGGATAGATAATAAACAATGGTTTATTTTCCCCATCAGAATGATTAGTGCACGATTTCGTTTCATCTGAATAATTTCCCCACCTTTCGAGACTTTAATTTTCATTTATATGTTTATGTTTGAACAAATAGGTGTACTTCACTACGGATTGGCTGCCTGATGCATTAAAATTTGATGTCGGTCAACAGGCCAATGAGAACTTTTCAAAGCGCATCAAATATTAATACTTAAAAGCCGGCCAATAGGTAATTACGTCCCAAAGGCTTTAGGGTGGATAGAAAATCAATGACCCCATTGGTTTAAATTTCATTTAATTGCTTTAGTTGGTCACCGATGCTTTACGTCGTGGAACAGCACCTTCAGTACGGGAATGCCGATTTCCTTCTAATTAGATATTAATTTAAATAGTCTCATACTGATAGGAATATCTTACTGTTTAAAATCGTCCACTGTGATATGGAGCACAATAATTAATTAATATTTGTAATAGGTTTGAATTAATTTATTTGGAGTTATTACCAATTTGAAGCCGGTTCTGGTTGTTTAAAATGCTCTGCAGCAAATTAACACCGGCTCTTTGCTGTTCCCATGTGGGATAGGCGCAACGGTGTGAGCAGAAATATCATCATTCTCAACATGAATTATTAATGGTGCCAGTTCCACTACAATAAACGAGGCCATTACCTGATAGTAATTCCTTTTAATTCATAATGAATCATTTGAGCCCTTTGGTCTGATTTATCAATGTTCCACGAAGTCGCATAGTACAAATTTAAGTTTCAAGACAGACTCTGTTTGATGTGCTTTTGTCATTTCGGTTACTTTAACCATGAAAGGTTCTATTGCGGATCACCATAGACTACTGATTTTTATATTTTACGCATGGAAAAATAGACATGAATATTAAAGGAAATTCAATTGTACTTTTACTAAGAGATACAAAGTTTTTCTTATTTGATCTTTACTCTACTGAGGTAGAGTTGAGAGTTGCGCAAGAATGGACAAAAAAAAAAGGATGCAATAAACTACAGTTCCAAAAAGAAGACGCGTGGCCATCTTCACGCGTATATGCTCGTCCACCCGTGCACAGCGTGTGTGTGGGGCCCTTATGGCGATCCTTTAGGGGGTCGGGGATGTGTACTACCCACGCGTATGAAACGTATAAATCTTGTAGTTGTTTAATTGCCGTTAATCGCTGTTTTATGAAGTGTTCAATAACGCCCCGCGGAGCCGCGTTGTTTAAGCCAATTGAGTTTGCGCGTTCGAAAGAGGATCTTAATCTCGCCCTGTCTATTTGGCAGCTTGATTGATTGTTCCTGCGCGCCCTGGGGGAGGGGAGGGGAAGGGGGAAGAGCACACAGAGAGACTCGCGCGTGGGTCCGCGCTCATCAGACCAGGATCGAAGGTAAGAGGAGAAGGACTGTAGACGAGGATAGAGCCGATAGAGCTGTGCGTAAAGGCGCGGGGGAGGCCATGGATCACGTCGGGATCTTGGGGGCGCATTTGCAGCAGCACGCGCACGCGGAGCCCATCAGCTTCGGCATCGACCAGATCCTCAGCAGCGTGGAGCAGAGCTGCATGTTGGGCGCGAGGATGCACGAGCAAGACTACGGGCACCTGGCGTACAGCGCCGGCGGCGCGAACGGCGGCGGCTTCGCGTGCGCCAACGGCGGATACGGCGGCGGCGGCGCGTGCGGGGTGACGTCCCTCGGTGGGACTTATCACATGAACATGAGCGTGAACGTGAACGGGACGAACGGGAACTCCGCCGGAGTCATCCGCGTCCCGGCTCATCGGCCCCTTCATAGCGGGAGCGCGACGGTTAACAACCTGAGCACACTGACGTTCCCGTGGATGGAGAGCAACCGACGCTACACCAAAGAGCGGTTCACGGGTACAACATCAACAATAATGATAATAATACACATACAAATAATAATAATCATAATCATAATCATAATAACAACAATAATAATAATAATAGTAATAATAAAAATAAAAATAATAATAAAAAATATAATAATAAAAAATATTATATAGTAATATAAAATACAATAAAATAAAATATAATAATAATAATAATAATAATAATAATAATAATAATAATAATAAT